CCTGCTGGACAGCGAGGCACTCAAGCGAGCTTGGGCCAGCAGCCAGGGTGCAGATGCTGACAGCCTGTACGTGGGCCAGAGCCGGCCTCCGTGCACTGAGCTCCACTGCCTGGTCCCAGGGTCCACCCCACTGCGCCAAGCCACACAAACCTAGGTCTGTCATCCAGCGCATGACTGGCTGAAGACTGAGGATAACCTCAGCCCTCCGTTAAAATGACAGCTCATTCACTGCCGAACCTTGACAAGTCCCTTCAGTGGGTTGGGCTGCAGACTGAGGGATGACCTGGGCCCCTTACCAAGCTCACCATAGAGGGAGGTGAGCAACTGAAGAAGTGAAAGACAGTCTCAGATGAAAGGGTTTCAGAGCTGCTAGGGAGAAAGGTGGGACCAGGGAGGTCTTGCTTCAGCACAGACCCACAGGCAGGACCTCCCTGAGAATAGGCAGTGCACCTTGTGACTAGGAGAGACAATAATGTTCTGCACAGAGGGAAGAGTCTGTGCAAAGGCACTGGGATGAGGGTGTGCTGGGCACCAGCCTGAGGGCAGAGGTGAGTGTGACCCCAGAGCAAGCAGTAGGGTTGGATCTTACAGGCAAGTGTGCCATGGCTTGGTGCTGGGTAGCATCGGGGTGCCATGGGAGTGTGGGTACAGAGGACTCAGTGCAAGACCCAGTCACAGATCACATTCACCAGGTCACAGGTAGGGCTTTGTGCGCCTCACACTTTATCTGCGACAGAACAGGGATAACAGAGAGGTGTGGGAGGGAGTACACGGGTGCCTCGCTTGAAACTGGGCCAGAAAGGACAGAGACGGGCTTTAAGGACACAGCTGTCACAGACACTCAGGGCCAGGGAGTTCCTGCCAGGGACTGGAAGCTGTAGCTTGAATCCTACCTGCTCTAGACATTTCACAGCCACTTTCACTCCCTACCTTGTCGCTGGCTATCTCTGGAGACAGGGACCCTTACAGTCAAGACATCGGTTGCTGAGAAATACAAATCTATTCCCTCATACCATTAAGCTGTTTTGTCAGAGGTTTGGGGAGCTTGTTGAGAGCTCTGGTCCTTTTCAAACAACTATAAATTACATTTCTATTGACTTTAGTCCATAGGCACTAATGTAAGATGTTTAAAAAAATCAATCGCCTTCATGTCTTTTTTAAAAAATTTAAATTGAGTCTCCCCACCTTCAAACACTTTAATTCCATTTATACATTTTCTCATATTGTTTTCCTTTTCCCTTGTTCCCCTTTCCCTATCCTTCTCACTGTCCCTACACCTTTGGTCCTTTTCTTCCTATCTTTCCCTCACTGTCCTGCTCCCTACAAGCTAGATAGGAAAGCCCCTCCTCCTCCTAAGAATGGAAAATTCCCACGGCAGAGGGAGCTGGGGCTTTTGGCTAGGCAGGAACTTCCTGTGGTCCAAATTACAGGATTATCCCTTGTTCCCCTTTCCCTATCCTTCTCACTGTCCCTACACCTTTGGTCCTTTTCTTCCTATCTTTCCCTCACTGTCCTGCTCCCTACAAGCTAGATAGGAAAGCCCCTCCTCCTCCTAAGAATGGAAAATTCCCACGGCAGAGGGAGCTGGGGCTTTTGGCTAGGCAGGAACTTCCTGTGGTCCAAATTACAGGATTAAAACAACAGCTCCGACCTAGGTTGAGTGATTGAGAACCTGTCTCTTCTCATTTCCCCAGATTAAGTCTTGCTTCTCGGCTGGTGGAGCACTCCCTTCTGGGTTCTGCTGGCTCATCCGTCTTCCCGAGGGTTATGTGACTGGGCGTGAGGTCTCCTTTCTCCCAAGAGAAGACGGGGTGGTGAGTGAAGTGAAATGGAAAACTACTTTTCAGTGTCCATGTGCGCTGCTGTATGGGGAGGTCGGTGGCTCACAGAGCTCAGGATGGCCAAATATGTGAACACGAATGTCCTCCGTGTGTCCAAAGAGCATAAGACCCAGGGCTACATGGCAGGAGCTGCTTCCTCCTGTGCTAAACACCTTCTGCACTGTGCCTCTCCATGGTGCAGCTGGTGGCCCCACCTGGACAGCCCAGGAGGCTGGGTCTCATCTCCCCCTTGCTTCCCCTAAGTTCTGAGTCCTGGCCTTCTCAGTGGCCATTACAGGAAGCAGCCCTGCTCCCTGAACCAAACATTAAAGGAATGTTGCTGCACAGATTCTCTACTGAGGACCTCTCCAGAGGGCTTCGATTTGGCCTTCTCCCCGAGTAGCCACAATGGCCCGTTTGTCCCAGGCTCAAGGAAACAGTGGGCAAGACAGGCACAAGTAGCTATGGGGAGCTATGCAGGGAGGCCGGTGGCCAAGGCCCATTGTGGTGCATGTTTGTGACAAGGAAGGAACACACAGAGTGCTCCGGGGCCGGTGGGCTCGTGGGAACTCCGAGCTGGCCTTTGAGATGGCAGCAGCCCACCAGCTAGTGCTCCACATTCTCTGCTTAGTGCAGCCAGGCCATGTGGGAACAGGAGGAGCTGGAGAGGGTGCCTGCTGGAGGGGAGGGCTGCAGAGTGGCTGGGCTTGCAGGCCTAGGGGGTGCGGACAGTGCTGGGTGCTGAAAGGACAGCGCCTGGTTTGGAGCCAGGCAGAGCGTTCCCCAGCTGGAGCCCGGCATCCTGTGCATCTGAATTTTTCCACTCTTCCTCTGGAATCCTGTCGATGCAGTCTTGGCAAAGATGGCTTGAGCCTGAAAGCTTTTCCCATCTATTTTTAAATGAAATGGAATTCCTGTTGCTTGCATGAGTCTTGCCCTAACTGGATGTTTTCATGACCCACTTCTCTGGGATTTCAGGGCAGGGGTACGGTGGTAACCAAGATGAGGCCCACAGGTGTGCAAGACATGACACTAAGGACATAAATGATTAATGGCCAGGTTGTTGAAGGACACCCTAAATGCGGAAGCAGAGACTCGCTCTTGATGTGGGACTCGCTTTCTGCAGCCTTCTGAGATGCAGTGGAGCTGCCGGTGCAGACGCCATTGGGAGAGGAGGGATCAGGGCACAGCTACAGATTCACTGCTCCCCCCACTGGCCCCACTCCAACCTTTGCTGCCCTGGAGAGACTGGCAGCTATGGATGGCTCCCCACAGCCTCAGAGATAGGCCCCACTTTTTTCTAAAAGACAAGAGGGGTAGATTTATGTCTCCTACTGTCCTGGAACCCCAGACGGCAAAACTTCCTCCCCTCAGTGCCTGTGCTTCTGCTAAAATGACACTGCAATTGCCTTTCCTCATCCTCGGAGAGCCGACCCTACCTATGGTTCCCACTTTGCTGACTTCTGAGATGAGATGGCTCAAGCATGGGGTTTCTTCTTGATAGGATGAGGGGTCCAAGCCTTCCAAAGTTTGCAGTTTTTGTTTTTTTTTTTTGGTACCGGGGATTGAACTCAGGACCTTACACCTGAGAGGCAGGCACAGCTCCACTGAGCTAAATCCCTGGCTCCAGTTTGTCCATTTGATCACAGTTGCTTTGCTCCTTTGCAGAATGAGAATGAGGGCAAAAGGTGACCCCAAGGTGGTCAGCAAGGCCAGCCAGCCTGTGCAGGGAGATGGTACAGCATCTTCTTCCTCTGTCCCTGGGTTGGCACCTCTCCCCTTAGCCCACCTGGGAGGGCATGGCGGCTCAGAAGGGGGCAAGCTCACTTACTCCTGGTGACCATGACTGGTGTGTGGGCATGGAGGAGGGTAGGTGGAGAGTCGGAGTGTGCCCCAAATGTCCTGCTTATGTGTGGCAGGAGCACATACCTGTGGACGCTATAATTTAGCTCTGACATTCTAAAGAATGGATAAATTAGCACTGTGCCCACTGGCCCTTATGTGTTCTGCCCAATTAACCCCCGAAAAAGAAACCCTCAAGCTCGAAACAGGTTCTATTGCCATGAGCTTTGGGAACTAAAGAGCAAACACAGCAGAGGGCTGCTCTGGCATTGGGGTTAGTGCTGTTTACAGTTAGGACAGTACCTGCTACTCCCGAGGTCTTTTCCTTCAGCGGAACATGTCATGCAGGGTGACGGTGCTGGGTGATGGTGGAAAGCAGCTGGACAGGATCAGCTGATGTGGGGCTGCAGAAGGTGGCAGTGGGAGGGTGAGGAGCTGGGGTCCAAAGGCCTGAGAGTCGGGTTCTTTAGCTTCCTAGAAGCAGGTTCTGGAGGGTCCCTCTCTGGGAACACCCTCATCCCTGAAGAGGGTGGCACAGCTGCCTACCTCTCCCCTGGGGGACACTCTCCACTGTGTCCAGGGCCTGCCCTCTTGTCCAGGATGGTGACACCAGTGTCCCTGCTGGCTTCTGTTTTGCTTCAGCTGTGTTGTGCTGCAGGCTCCTACTGGATCTGTGGAGCAGAGTCCAGGCCGCCCTGGGACTTCTGGGCTCACCACTGACTGACCACATCCCTCCTCTGCCCCTGGGAATGCCCCTTTCCCCCGGAGGGCCTCCCTTCAGGACCTTTCTCTGGGCATTTGCCCCAGCTACTTCTTAGGAAGCTTCCCCAGGTCCTCCACGCACACTCAAAGGAGGGCTGGGGTCCAAATGCCGGGTTCACTCTGATACCAGGTGTAGAAGATCCCCTAGGGCTGAACCTTACCCAGACCTCGGCCTGACCCAGTGCTGTCCTCTCGCAGGTGTCTTTTCTGGGTCCAGCCAACGGGAGTCCAATCCCGTCAGGCTCTGGCACCCTCGAGCCTGTCGGGCGCCTGCTTGCATGTCTTGCCTGTGTCAGAGAGGACAATCGTGCCCTCAGGAAGG